AGACACAGGAGAATATCAAAAGCCGGATATTATAACATTTTACAACAGTACCAAGATTGGAGTAGATTTAGTAGACCAAATATGCCAATAAAATAATGTAGCAAGAAATACGAGACGTTGGCCTATGGTTGTATTTTATAATTTATTAAATATTTCCGCTGTAAATGCTATGATAATTTATAAGCTCAACAAACAAATCGAGGGAAAATTACGCCGAACTGAATTCTTGCAAAACTTAGCATGGGATATGTTGACACCACAAATAAAATGAAGAGCTTACATTTCACAAATTCCACGGGAACTTCGCCGCAGGTCAATGGTATTGCTGGGTTTGGAACCCTCAACTTCTGTAGTTGAACAAAGAGATCGAAGAGGAGCAAGAGGGCGCTGTTACTACTGCGGAAGAGCACGAGATAAAACAACTAGAAAACTTTGCGCGCAGTGTCAAAATTTTGCTTGCAATGACCACCTAAAAGAAATTTGTGTGCGATGTTCTGAAAACAACGACTGAAGTAGTAATTCACAGTTATCTTATGTTTTAAATATATTTTGTTGTTAAAATCAACCTACATTTTATGTCAAGGCTTATAGAGAATATCTTGTTTCTTATTTAATAAATATTTTTGGAAAAATCTTGTATAGGTTGTTTTTTAGGATGGTTGATACTTGTCACCCACGCGACTAATAATGTGCGGATAAGAGACGCGACTAACCTAGGGTTAAATTGTGTCAGAAAGAAAGTAACTTTACTTCAGCGGATGATGCAGACATTACTAAATCTAGTAAGGGCACTAATGGACAGCAACCAAGACAGTCCGAAACTTTGCGGTGAACATCGGGATCTTGGTGCCAGCTTGCTTTCATTTCGTTACAGCCGACTGTATACTAACGAGTAAAATTTCTTGCCTTGTAAAATTCTCAAGGGAATTTTAACGCTACTATGCCACTAACATAATATAACTTAAGGTGTACCTCGGCTGGGACTCAAAGAAACTGGCAGATACGGTCAGAGTTATTGAGTTATTCAATTTTTAGTTGTATCATTTCTCGGATTGAAACATTCGTTGGCCAGGAAGGAGTCTCCAGTTATTGGTCATCCGAGAGGATCCCGCATGCTAATCATCAAGGACCACTGGTAGTTTTCTTTTGTGGTGAATGCTTTGCTATTGAATTGATGGGCTGTCGCATATTATACCCCATCCTACATCAATATAATGGAGAGCTTCTAGATTCCATGTCTGGACCAGGTTGTGGGAAAACAATGGCAATTGTGTAAAGAGAAAAATCTTACTGCTCTCTCGTTAAATATAAAATCTAGGAGTAATACTGGTACAGATGAGCTTTTGCGTCAGTGGGATGTGGAAACGGAGTGGGAGCTGCAACTGTCACCGTCCTGATTTTGGATCAAGTATTCGGTGTTTCTGAAATTTCACGTCTAGAACTAACGCAAGGATCTGATGGAGGGACCCAGGACGCCGCTCCCACTAATTCTGGAGCTTACCCTGGTTATCGTCACTGGAAAGCTGTCATTCCAGTCAACCTCGATAATCCATCATGTATTGTGGGCTTAGATTACGGTAGGACCTTTGCCGGGAAGAAATACATGTCTGGTTTCCTACCTTGAAATTTCTTACCTTACAGGTGATAACAGATCAAGATATAATTGTTTGAGCTATCAGTCTTTTACCCAAAATGTTACTAACAATGCAGACATAAGATGGTTTTTGAAGGGCATTTACAGGCTGAGGCCATCTCAACTGAAATATAGATACTGTGGTTGTTCTCAACCAACCAAAGGGGTTCGCTGGTAAGCTCTGTAGATATTTGGATGAGGAAATCAGCAACACTGCTAGCTCTAACCTCAGGTCAGAGTGTGCAAACTAATTGAAACAGACAACATCCGGATTGTGTTGAATAATACTGAAATTGGGATTTCTCAGTTTTTGAAGGTCTCGGGGTCACTCATGTGGCAACCACTCAAGTTTTACCGTATTTTACGCCCAAATATCAGTGCATAGTATTTATTTGTCACTGTACAGTAACTTTATCATGGTGCCTCGGCTCCCAGATGGATGAAGTCGGTTTTAGCAGAGAGTGTCACAATTGACAGCCCACGCCCACAGTACATGAAATGCGTCTACCTCTCCTAATGCTAAATTATAGTAGTCTCAGGCTTGCGGCGGGCTGGAGTGCGTTTTCTGAGATACGTCACAAATTTCTTATGCCAAACAATAGCTTTGCTCAAGCGGCATTTGAGGTAAACCAAGTCTCCACACCTTAAACATAACTGTGTTATTACGTTATTTGCTCATTACCATGAAATGGATGGTAATTTTTTAACCAGGTACGCCATATAACCTGTTGGCTTACCTTGAATTGTTACAATGGAAGTGTACATAATTACATGATCAAACGGACTTACCTGTAAGTGATGTTCGATCTTAATTATGTGAAGTCCTCGTCCAAGTAAATAGCTCCCTCGCTCCCTATGTATCACCCAATTGTTGCAACAACTTGGAGTAAATGAAGGTTTATAGGCGGCCAGATGGGAGAAAGGTAGGGGGAAGGGGCGCTGTGCCGCTTTCCTTCTCTGCGTGCGCGCTTTGAAATCGTGGCGGTGGGGCACTACTACGAGGGTACTACGATATGTAATCTAAATATTTACTTTGACGAGGACTTCACATAATTAAGATCGAACATCACTTACAGGTAATTTCAATTGATCATGTAATTTTGTACATTTATATGGAGTTTTCAGCCAAATTTGGTGATATATTTCATTGGTAGTCAATGAATTTGCGGTTGGTACAACATTATAAGGGAATAAAAATGCAAGATGAAACCTGGACGAGAAATAAAAATTATGATGATGCTAATAACAATAATAATCATAAGTAAGCACATGTAAACCATAGTAGATGTTCGAAATCTTGTCCGTTATTTGGTAGGCAGGACCCGACTCTTCTCTGTACATTGTTCACTGCTCGGTTTATTTCCCTTCTTCTTAGTTTTTCAAACTATGGCATCAGAATTATAAACTCTATCAATCTGTGCAACAATCTAATATGGCGTCTATTAGAAAAAATAAAGTTGATGTTGAAGGACAAAAGTCATTTTGAAAGTCTAATTATGCCATCTTGTAAAGGAAGTCAAGTGACAATGTTAATGTGAAATTTATTTCAAAATCGTACTAGAGAAAAAGTCAGTAAACGATTTTGGGAAAATTCGTTTTTTTCCGTCTCATTCCGGAAGTAGTTTGAATTTCGCATTTTGCTAGTTACCTAAAAACGCGACTCCGTATCTCTTATCGTTTCCGAGATCAAAATCGCCATTTCAGCTTTGAAAATTCTCTTACCAAATATGGATATAATATAATTTTAGAAGTTAAAGTAATGAATGGCTTCATCTCGGTCAATATTTTAATTTGTGACCTGCGCGTTACTAATGCTGTGCAATAGTTAATGGTTTCTCTCCGTTTTTTTTTTCGTTGTTTATCTCGATATGATATTGTAAGCGGCTTAAACTGTCATACAATATCATTTGTAGTGCATCCTGACGTTGAGAATAAACAGTCTCCGAAAGCTCGACATGAACTAAACACAAACTTGGACTGCAACATCAAGATACTTAAACTTGTATTTCAAATATTGCAATACTTATAGCCAATTTTGAACAACACTTTTCCCTTTGACTATCAAGAGCCTTTTGTTTTGCCGGATTGCAGAAATAGAATATTTATATTTATGGAAACTAACAAATTCCCACTAAGTAGAAGGAGCCATTCAAGGACTTGTTTGCCTCCTTATTCTCATTCTATGTAGTGCACTTGACAAAAGTCAATTTTTTTGCAGTTCTGTCATTAAATCCATATACATAGTGCTGTTTTTTAAAAAGTGGGAGCGTTTGCGAATAAATGTGGTATTACACGATTTGAATACATCGCCATTCTTACATGATTTGCAACGAGAGGCACAAGCCTAACTAAGGTAGATGTTTCCATCGGTAAGTATTATTATCATGTTTATTCAACGCTGTTACTTTGGTAGGCTTTGGTAGAGTAATGAGTCAAAAGTACGCACCAAAAATTCGCAATGTTGGCGACAAACAGTGCAATGTAAACATACGAGTATAGGCTTTTAATTTATCCGAATTCGTTGATACCAACTAAATTCTGTCAAATATGGAATGAAATGCTACAAGAGTGAGAACGAAGAAAAAATATATAATAAATAATAATAATTATGCCTCTAGCATGGCTGTGCCATTTGTCCGGAATTTCTCTAAGCTTCAAACTGCAATCCACCTAAGGTTTTTGTGTCCTAGTTGCGTGCGGAAGGGCAGGAGACAATCACATCAGGACTCCGTCGGTCGTTACACGCGAAAACTCCACAATGAAGGAGACAGAGAGAGAAAGTTATGCGCGGAAAGGGGTGAAACACGAGATAATTTATTTTTGCAGGGGTTCCATTTCGTTTCCGTATTGCGAACACGAATGAGGAACGGGTCAAGTTTAAGCAACGGCTTTTGTTTTCTTCGGAGATTTGCCCTGATCTGCCGGAATTACGAAGACCCATCGGCAAAGGAAACATTTTTTTTAGACCTTAGGATAACTGATGAGACGGACAGAAAAGCGAGGTTGTTTGATACTGTGCTATGTTTCTTGTGTCGTTTGTGAATCCGTAATTTTTGCATTATCCAACAGGCTATTGTGATGATATAAGAAGCGATTTGTTGAATGAAAAAATACCTTTTGAAAATATAATTTCTTGACAGTTTTGAGAATTTTAGTAGAAACTACATGTTAAACAAATTATTTCAGAATTTTCTAGGAAATCATTACAATGCATTCTTCCAATCAGCAGACTTCCCTACCGAAATTAATGTACATATGTCTTTCCTACATGTCCCCTCTATCCTAATCTCAGAAGTTTGCATTTCATAGCTCTTAGTTGTTTAGTGTAGGCTTTGGTCGCAGTTTATGGAGGACTTTAAGAAATATATGCATAAAAAGGGTATGTATTGTATTTTTCTTCAGTAAAATAAAAAAATAAAAGAAAAACAGCTTATTATTCAAGAAACGGTTTTCACAGATTTTCGTTCTCTCTCTCACTCTAATATCTAAGTTCAGCATTTAGGTGGATCCAATCTAAGAACCGATCAACTCGTGTAAAAATAGAAGGGCTGCCTGTCTCACATTCATCCGTTCCAATAGACACAATACCAATAAGAGTCCCGTTAAACTGCAGAGGTCCACCTGAATCCCCTTCGCAAGTGCCTTTGATACCGGTTCCAGATGTGCAGATATTTTTGTGTGTCACGTATACTACGCCGTCTTTTTCTTCGTCCATTTTGAAGTAGGCCTTGCAAATGTCATAAGTGGTCGTTTGAAGTGTTACTTCTTCCAGAACCGCGGAAATGTCGTTGATAGTTGCATCTGGAGTGTCTCTGGTCAAACCCCAGCCTACAAAATTGGGCATCTTAGATTAATCTATCCATATATTTGCATAGCAAATGCCGGCTTAAGCTAGGGAATTATGGGCAGAAAGGCAGCTTGGGGCCTGCGGCTGGAGGATGCCTCAGGTGACAGCGAAATCCTGGGCCCTACCTTGCAGTTGGGAAGAATTGGATCAATTGAGGAGCGGAGGGGTATACTTTTTTGATCAATTTTTATGCTAATGGGGGTCCCTCATCAAGTCAGCGCCCAGGACATTGTCTCTCCCATCTGCCTATAGGGTCAAGACGGAATAGTACACAACTGAACTTGATGACTAGTTGACCACATCCACCAGAAATTAAATACAGAACCAATAAGATGGAGTATGTCATGTGTTGCATAAGACTGACTTAACCTTGTCATTAGATTATGAATAACCTGACAATTGCTAATTCAATAGAACGAACTTAGACATGACTGAAGAGTCAAATCAACAACTCCGTTTCAAGGATATATCTGCGACTCTAGATATAAGAATAATGCCTTCGTTTCATCTTAAAGATCAGAATCGGTGCCAAATACAAGCCATCTGTTATCTAAGGAAGATGTTAATTATATTATCCAACTAAATAGCTGTTACCCGCAAACTTGTATGCTTGAAATTGTTACAAACCTTAATTTTGAAATTAACACGCTAGATTAAACCAAATTTTACATTGTAAAAAATATCAGTCTAGCTCTACTTATAGAGTGTTAATGTATATATATATATAGAATTATGACAGACCATAAACTCCTTTTGTCCCACATCGCAAAATTCATCCTCAGTTTAAGTGTACTCTGTCTTGAGAGTATTGCTAATTTTAGGTATCTATCAGCATTTTCAAACAAACTTAGTACCATTTAACCCCCATAATACAGCCCTGTCGCAAAAACCGTTCTTAAGTGATACCTACTGTCTACAAGGTTCCTCTTTGGCAAATTATATCTATAAGCCACCTCTCTGGAAAATTTCATGTTCATAAGTCGAATAGTTTCAAAAATTCCTCGATTTACGGATGCTGATATTTCCGCTTCTATATACATCTGGCTTTATAGCCCCCTTAATCCAGCTCTCTCGCAAAATCTATACTTAGCTTAGACGCCCTTTCATAAACTACCCCTTTGCCAAATATTTTATTTACAGGCCGAATAGTTTTCGAGGTTTAATGACTAAGACTTTCTGCCCTTGACCCTCCTTAATCCAGCTCTCAAAGTTATTCCCAGGATGTGTTGTTCCAGACTATAATCCATCTCTGTACCAAATTTCAGCCAGATCCATTCAGCCATTTTGACGTGATTGAACAGCCAACCTTTGCATCTATTATGTTAAATAGGGATTATCAATATCAATTCGATTCTCAATGATTACTAATTTTTGACTTTCAAGTCAAATTATTCAAATGTGCAGAATCGTACCTATTTCTCTTTCTATTCGGCCCAGTAGACAGACAGTATTTCAACGTCCCGTGACGCCAAACGTAAAAGTTAAATCCGCAGTTCAACTTACCAGTGCTAATTACATCTTCTCCGTCATAAGTGTCATCATCACCTTCAGATTCTGGTAGAGCAATTGTCTTGATGGCTTGGCTTAACTCAACAGGCTTTGACAGCTTGACAAGTGCGATGTCGTTCTCAAAGCTGGCGGTGTTGAAATTTTTGTGGACAATAACCTCGTCGGCTTGTAAACGTATCTGTGAGGATTCATTTTCGAGTATTCTGTGGGCTCCTAGAATTATTTCCAAAAGTCTTTTGTTCACCCTATAACAAATACATGGTGCACAGTGGAACAACTGGACAAATACGTAGATATTTGAAGGCACTTGCATATAATGTGATCCTGCCATTGTGCGTACTTTATAACAGACTAAAGGATAAAGTATAGTGTACTTCACGAAATGTACCAAAGTGCACTGTGATCCTTTACAGAGGTTTGTACTTTGTATAATCATGACAATTATTCAGAGAAAAATATACAAGGAGTCCCCAATGTTAAGGGGGCGATCTTTAGGTCCATTTTGAGAAGAAACATTATTAACGACGTAACTTTTGAGATTTATGGTAATAATGTTTTCATCATAGGAAGCCAGCTACTGACTTTCCTTAAAATGAATGTATCTGTATAAAAAAATTAAAGCTATTTCTTTCCCTACATGGTAATATGGTCATATTAATGAAATTGTTATGACCAAACAGAGAAACGCCTATTTTTTTTAGCGAAAACCGTAAATCAAATTGAAAGGAATCGAGAGATCAAAGACAACAAATGATTGGGGTTTCAAGAATAAATTTTATTTCAAGAGAAATCAGTGGCGGAGAATCAATGTCTGCCAAAACAGGCAAGTGGAATTCCGATTGAACGCCACTGATGGCTATCAAAAAAATGTAGTACATTGCAAAATGCTTCTTGATACATAGTATTTGTATTCCAAATTTCAGTCAATGGTATTTACAGATATTAATAATAAATTATTTGTTTTTGAAATGTTCATCACCATATATCCCAAAAGTTAAGACGTTTAGGATATATGCATATGAGCTTCTCACCACCACCATTCATTTATAATGCCGCAGGCTCGTACAAAAAAATTCTGCAGGTCCCTAAAGGATGCTACTGAGAATCTGTTTTTCTTAAATAACTCTTGAGCGACTCTTTCCAATTCAAGCAAATTCAAACATAAAGGTACCCACAGAAAACTGTCAACTAATCTAAGTCGACAAAGATGATTTTTTTCACACCTTATTTGGTTTTACATGCTTTTGTAACCGTTGGATAAAATTACATATGTAGGATTGACTGTTTGTTGACGTGTTTCGAAAAGAACCACCGAGGTGGGCAAAACGTCAGTAAACAGTCACTCCAACATATGTGATTTCATCTAATGGCCAGAAAAATACGTATATTTATCACCATAAAGGTACCTCCTCAACATGTCTCGGACAACGAGCCATTTTTTTATACTCCGAAGGCCTAAGGTCTCAACACCCATGGGGTACCGTGGTGGTATAGGGGGATACAGGCAAAAGGGGCACTCCACACGGACTCTGGCGAGGGAGCACGTGTGCATGCAACATGCACACATTCTGGAGATCCGCCGGGTGGTACCTTTTGAGTAAGGCATTTCTGTTTCAGTGTATTTCTTCGGACTTTAAGCTGGATCTAGCATCATGGTACCGACATTTTGAAGATTGTAAGCTTGGTAATAGACTCGTAATCGGCCACTTAACAAAAGGCCAATTTATAGGCATTCTATTGTTTAAACAACCTTAATTTTCTCAAAGTTCTTGGTGATCGGCTGCTCGTTCTTTCCAGGCCAAACAAAAATTCGATCCTTCATCCTAAGGATTACGCTTCTCATAACCATTATTTGCGAGTTATTATTGGCGATTTATATAATGACGACCCAACTAGTTAATACGCACTTTTTTTAAATTATACAGGGTCGTTCAAAATGTATATAAGAAAAAGAGATTTCCAGTGGCGTAGTTATATGTTACTTGTTTGTGCTCTGTATACATCGGGGAGTTTCCCTCTTATTGTGGGATAGCCTATATTAAGGGACTTACCCATTTACACAGTGAGCAGCGGTAATTATAAAACTTCTGGATATAAGTGAGCCACCACAGAAGGCAACGCCTTCGATAACAATGCCAACTTGGTAAGGATATGCATGAGGTACAGCTTCATGTCCACCTATGATCCTTATCGTGCCATAAATTTTGCGGTGGAGTTTGTGGTTCTCCGAATTGCTGCTTATCTAGAACAATTAATAGAAGTTAAATGCTTATAAAGAAGTTGTGTTTACTGTTTGATTTGCATCAACGTTGTAGGTTATAATGACTCGGATCAACATTAGATCTAAGAGTTATCACTAGACTACTGAGATGCATTTTAGGTTGTCTCAAGGTCAAATCAAAGTTGTTACGCAAGAGTGTCTGAATCCATTTGCAAACCTCCACTCGTGCGGTTTCGATGTCCCTGAATCATAACATAGCATTTGTTTCACCCGATGAGGTCACCTAGAAGTTATTTGAGGTCAAATCTTAAGGTTACTCCGAGGTTAACTTGTGTAAAAAAGCTTGGATTTATTTGAAAACCTCCGCATGCCAGTTTCTGTTGAAGCTGAATTCAAATCTGGGGTTTGTTCTATCCGGCAAGGCTATTTCTGGATTAATCCATGAGCTTATCAAGCATTAGGATATTCACCTTTTGAATATGTTTTATACATTATTTCTAAATTTGGCTTTGAGCTTGAAGTGGAAGGGATCAACAAACCACGTCATTAATATCTGCTACTCCAACAACTCTAGGATATCTCTATGGAGTTCAGTGATAACTTTTAAATCAAATGTTGATCTGTTGTTATCAAAGTAACAAATCATAGGGTGTCCGAGCAAGATTGCCAAATGCTTCGAAGATGGCCCACAGTTCTTCTGAATAAAGTTTCTTTCTACAGCCTTTATTTTCGGTTATAATTACATAGCAACAACTGTCGTGATCATGTCGACGATATGACGATTCTGATAATTATAATTACCAAGGTGGATAAATTCAAAATATACTTACAGCAGATTCAAAAACCAATACTATCAGAACCAGAACAATATGGAACAAATCCATTACACTTAATAATATATCACATGCCTAATCCATAGATAATCTCTGGTTTTATCATACTCTTATTTGCTTTGATTTATTCGACTGATAAGATTTGCTATTGTACATTTGTATCAATAACAAAACTGCTTTGCAAGGAATATAAAAATTGGTAGTTCGAATATTTATAGTTAATTCATAAAAACGTATAAACAAACTGCAGTCGCTTTAGACCTCGCTCTGGCCATGAATCTATATTCACATTACCAGCTCTCTACATCCTGGTAGCTTTACTAGCCTCAGTTAATCGCAACAGCTCGGAAAACATTATTTGGGTTTATGAACGGTTGCTTTCATATATTTTTTACACTTTCCTTTTTAAAATATGATGGGTATGGTGTATTGTTTTATGAGCTTCTTGGTAATATAGGTATAATGGATTGTATTCGCTATTGACCTGTTTTTTTTTAATATTGTTTTGAATCCTACAAAGCACTTAAATTATGTCAGCTGATTATCGAATATGATAAAAGATAGCATAATTTATAAGTTAATTTTGTACCAGTCACTTTGGAATCATAAACCAAACAATGCTCAGATATTGAGTACTATACTAGCTTGAAGATTCTTATTATACAGTATACTACTACCTTTAGTGCCACAGATGGCGATACCATGTTGCTATTTTTATTGTCTACAAGCCTTCAAGCATAGATAGTCAGACTAAATGATAGCGCAATCTACAAAAAAAATAAACGAAATTGATTGGCACCAGATTAATGGTAACGCACACAAGGGGAGTTGAAATGCAATGAGGTGTCAAAGAGGGTTTATCACTCAAGGTGACAATAGTAGCTACAAAGGGTAAATAAAAATCGCGGGTGATGCTGCTGACTCTGGCCATAGTCTCAAGATGCTCTTAAGTTGGATCAATGAGAGTCGTCAAGTATGGGGATGAAAACCAATACCATGGAAACCAAAGTCATAGAACAAAAATATACCAATTTTAATATCTCTGGAGCAACAACTTGAACGCGTACCTATAAATATCTTGACTACTAATTTAAATAATTATGTTATTAATCATATAAATATTATCAAGCAAATATATCCTTCAAAGGATATTTTGGTACATGCAAACATTTCTCCATTCGATCCTAATGATGTTATATCCTAGTTATATCGATATCTATTATCATATACCATTATTGCTCTATATTTATCAGCACGATATCTGGGTTGTTGTAATCAACGATTTTGTCTGATTGTTGATTCGAGTTTGGGTGCGGGATATTTGTAGTAAGGGGCCGTATCACTAGATATATTGTGTTGTGCATATCCAGGTATTCTGTCTCAGATAATGCTATGCTGATAATGCTCTTAATGTGGGAGTTTCAGGAAATGTTCTCATACATTCTGGTTCTTATAACACCGTCCTCAATAGCGTTTATGAATCCTTCTGTTTCTGGGTGTAAATCGCCGCTTTTCAACCACCTTAAAATTTCTCTTTGTCGACATTTGCCTTACACATGTCCACCGGATGCTTTCCATGTAAGGTTTTCTCTTTCAACGCTTGAATTTTGTTGGAGTTCGTCTGTTGTCTGATGTCGTTTACCTTGATTAGTTATTGTACCTATCAGTGGTTAAGTTGATCTTCTAAGGTATTCGGCCATTTTACGTTCTTGTGATTTTCATATTGCACAGAAGAGATCTAAAGAACAGTTTTAGGGAGGAATCTAAATTTGGTTGAAAGTGTTCGTGTGAGTCGGTCCAATTTCTCAAGGTGTGTTTGGCCGTTACCACCGAGAGTACAAGGCCAAACAACTGGGCTGTGAAAAGCCTGTGACGTAGGCCTATGCATGTTCTTATGGAGTTTCGCGAAGCTGGCTGGCAAGAGGGCAGCGCCACCATTTCTCTGCGGTGTTGTCATATCTAGTGATATAGTAGTATCGAAATCTCTACTAATTAATTGTACCTCACTGTGGGCGAATTTGCAAGATGTACTCGGAGCCTGCGCAGCTTCAGTGATGATGTGATTATTCTTTCTGATCTGCCTCAGTATGTCAAGAATACATTTTCGATATTACGTTCAATCTGTCACTTGTGAAGTTTAATAATTGGAATATGTGGCAACCTTGGCAACACCGCTAACATCCAACAGCCAACTAACTTCAAATTCTGAGCCTCTCTTATGTATCGTTCTGTGCTATGTAAACTGTATATTATTGATATTTTAAACTTATATTTGTGTCTCGCGATTATTCAGCTAAGTTTTCCAAATGCCTTACATGTGCTGCGTTCCTAATTGTGCCGGTAATTACGGAAAGGGTCCAAAGGTACACGTATTTTCGTTTCGATTGAATGAAAACTGTCGTAAAAGATGGCTCAATGCAATCCCTCGTAGTGATTTAGTGGTCACAAAAAACACCAGAGTATGCAATTTGCACTTTGCTGAGGACAGCATCATTTGGGAATCCACCTTCTATGATGAAAAGACAGGTAGGACCATTACTGTACCCCTTAAGTATCCAAAATTGAAGGCAAATGTAATTAGAAGTATCATTACAAATTGTCCAAAATATCTTTCAAAGGAAATATCAAGCAGAAGAAGCCGAGATGAGAAATTGAGGGACAAGGAACAAAAACAACTACTTGAAGCACTGCAAAGTAGCATTGATGATTATTCCTCCTATCCAAAATCAACAAGTTTTCAAAATTATTCAGACTTTCGCACAGTTTTCAGTTCATGGCAATGTCCATAAGATTGTTCAGGATAAAGTTACTTTGTTTAAGTTAGATTATAAACCAGCACCCATCATAACTCACTCTGTAATTGTTGATAAAGTTCTCAATGTAAAAACGTAAATGTACTCCCAAGTGTTACTCAAGGTAATATTAAAACTCCATTTTCATTATCTAATATACACCACTTGGATGAAGTTCTGAATGTTCTTTCTGATGATGTAGATTCTTCGAGGGAATATTCAGGTAAAGGCCAGTTCAGAGCCACTATCAATCATGCTTACAATATTTTAAATAGCACAGAACTATTCACCGATGAAGAGACCCACACTGTCATTCAATTTATTTGTGAGCAGCTGAAGCTTGTTATTAGTCAGAAGAACAGACACAGTTACTCATCAGAAAAAATAGTGTTTTGCTCTATGTTGTATACAATCAGTCCACATTCATATAGATCTATTAGGAGCTATGGAGCACTTATTTTACCACACAAAAATACTCTGAAGTCAATTTGTAATACATTGATGGTCGATCCAGTTTCCGATGAGATATATAACTTTTTATGCCATGCAAAGAACACAACTGTTCAACAAGCACTAAATTTTTTATACAATTTTCAAGTACCATTTTATTATGCCTATAATAATAGTAAATTGTCCACATATTCCTGTGAAATTTTGTTGACTTGTTGTGACTAACATGGGGTTATTCATTGAAGAATTTATCATTTTTAGCAAGCTTTTATAACATCAACTTATTACTCTAATGTGCACGTAATGTTGGATAAAATATCGGTGAAAATCAGGGTGAAAATAGTTAATAACTACCACCAAGTTGCCTTCATATACTAAAAACACTTTTTTGAATTATCTGTTATTTACATCAGGTAGAGTATATTAAATATGCTGCAATAATAATATATTATTCACTAGCGCTGATGTACGGCACACCGTGCTGTCGGCCGGCCGACCGGCCTACTGGTGGTGACGTCACGCGTCTGTTGTCAGGCCTTGTACTCGCGGTGGTAACGGTTTGGCTCCATTTCAGGAATATGTCAACACGAGTTGATAGCACAAGAAAAGTTCTTTGCTGTCAGTGTTAGGGATATTTGAGCTGGCTTTATTTTAAGGCGAGTCTGGGTTGTCGCTTTCTTACTCCGCGCGCGTGCGCTGCTAGGACAATAAAAAGAAGAGAGATACCAGCTCAGAACCGTGAGAACATATATACGCCGCAACCGCGTACAGTGAGACCACGGGTCTACGCAGCAACCACATGGAGTCAGAACCGCTCCCACACCCGCAATCTTCACGCTCCTGCATCACCGCTACGCCAGGAATACGAACCAGAATTAGACAGAATTAGAAATAGCGGATCAAACCTTCAGAGGCAGAATAGAAAAAGAAATAAGTACTTGCCAGCTGCAAAACGGAGTCAGCTTTCAAAACAACTGAAACTTACAGAAACGCAGATAAAAATATGGTTCCAAAACAGACGGACAAAACGAAAAGGAAATACACAAATGATATTGAATTGTTAGCACAACAGTACTACAGATCAATGGGAATATTAACCCCTAGGCCAATATTTTTGAAGGACAGATTATGACCCAGGTCCGCCAGGCTTGTCAACAGCACCCCCAATAATGCCAAACATGCTGCCGCCGCCACGTCAGACTGCTCCAATGCCCAGTCAGGTACCTGTGGCAAATCCTCCTAACCTCTGCATTAGACATTATGTGGAATATCCACCCCCCTCTCTTCAAGAACAGCCTCCCGAAACGTCTCCCATAGTACAATAATTGCAGAACTTTGGAAGACACTTTGAAAACTAGTTTTGGAGCTCAATAAAGGATGGAAGATCAAACCACAATAAAGTATGTTGTTGCCTTTGGTCACAATACAGAATTTTTTTATTTTTATCAACCACTTACTGAAAAATACAGGATGTGATATTTATCAAGGAAGGTACAGGGTGGTTAAGAAGCTTATATCATTGAGATTTACATATCGGTATTCCACTCTCTCATCGCATGCTGTAGCAGGCTTATCATTTTGGGGCAAACTTTGTAAATCTTTAAGATGCTATGTAGCCAGTCTTGGGAGACGGCATCGAAGGCTTTACGATAGCTAATATAGTACACATGCAGATTTTGCTTGCGCTACCTAGGGCACATAATGAGAAACAAAATGTATAACCTCGCCCAGGTGATTACCCAGGTGAAGAATGAGTCAAGTTTGGGGAAAATGAGGTCCGGCTTGGTAACAGATTTCTTGGCTGAAGAACATCAAAAAATAAGCCGGTAATAAATCAACATCCTTCACTAGAACAATATTAAATAGAGGAGTTTTTGCCAAAGTAACCGCTAACCTCTACTGTAAAAGGCAACACGATAATATACTACATATGCATACGCTTTTAAATGGGCATTATCATCCGACTTTTATTTCTTTAGTTTCGTAGTCAAGCTAAACAGAGTGTTATATCTATTTACAATAGAAACGGCTTACTTGTGTGAATTTCTAAACAAACAGAAGCAATCGTCCCCGTACGTCTAAAATTGAATATATAGCTTACACGATGTGTGCGAGGAGACGGAGTAGTTTTGTTGTGTGTTGTGAGATTAATTTCAGCGGTACAAAGGGCCTTTTAAGGTTCACTAATGAAAT